GCTCTGTAGCGTCGACCAGATGGCAACAGTTCAAAGAGGGAGTGTGCTGGATGTGAGGGGTCCGGAGTGATTTTGCCAGCCCTTTTGCTCACTCTGGATAAGTACAGTTCTTGGAAAGAAGGGAGGGTTGTACCAATGATTCGCTCAGCAGTCCGGACTACCCTCTGTAGTCTTCTGAGGTCAGATTTGGTAGCTGAGCTGAACCAGACAGTAATAGAAGTGCAGAGGACAGATTCAATAATGGCGGAGTAGAACTGCTTCAGCTGCTCCTGTGACAGGTTAAACTTCCTCAGCTGGCGAAGGAAGTACAACCTCTGCTGGGCCTTTTTAACAGTGGAGTCAGTGTGAGTGTCCCACTTCAGGTCCTGAGAGATGGTGGTGCCCAGGAATCTGAATGATTCCACTGCAGCCACAGTGCTGTTCATGATGGTGAGTGGGGGGAGTGCAGGGGGGTTTCTCCTGAAGTCCACGATCATCTCCACTGTTTTGAGGGTGTTCAGCTCCAGGTTGTTAGAGGGGTCATATGATGCTGCTAAAAAGAATATTATTTTGTGTAATTGGTGTAATGAAATGTGTTTATGCGGTTTAAGGTTAAAAAACACATTATTTTCCACATACTGTACATTATAGTTTCTCCTCTATGCCCCGCCTTTCTGAAACGGGTCGATTTTTACAAAGCTCATCGGTCTGAAAAAGCGAGGTGTGCTGTGATTGACCAGATATCCAGTGCGTTGTGATTGGCCGAATTCCTCAAGCGTGTGACAGAAATGTTACGCCCCTTACCATATTGTGATGCATGCGGCAACAACATGTGACAATCCCGGGCTGGACTCTGCTTCGTCCACGGTGAAAGCCGATCCGGCGATCGACAGCGCGAAGTTGAAGTATTTCCTCAGTGACCAGCACGGATCAGCTCCAGGCATGACGAAGCGGATATCGGCCTCTTTTGGAAGACCAAACAAAGTAGTTTCGCTTTCACAACGAAGCACACAGTGCCTTCACGACATGGTGGCGGCGGTAACAACAATACAACAGTGAGAATAAAAGTTACGCCTTCTTTCTTTGCGTGAACATTTGGGCGGCATTATGCAAATCTTCCCAGGGTGTGTTAAAATGAGCCGTTTTAGGTAGGCGTGGCTGACTCTTAACTTTTATAAAGAATATCTCTTTGGATTTGAGACTTTAGTCTTTGAAACTTTACAGATCTTCTTTATGCACCAAGAGCTTGTAGCACTCCAGAAGAAAGGAAAAATTTAAATCGCATCATATGACCCCTTTAAGACTGCACCAGACAGCCAGCTCTTTGACCTCCTGTCTGTAGGCAGACTCGTCGCCATCCTGGATGAGACCGATGACTGTAGTGTCGTCTGCGAACTTCAGGAGCCTGACAGAGGGGTCTTTAGGGTGCAGCCGTTGGTGTACAGGGATAAGTGCAGTGGGGAGAGCACACACCCCTGAGGGACACCAGTGTTGGTGGAGCGGCTGTTTGACATGAGTTTCCCCAGTCTCACTAGCTGTTGCCTATCTGTCAGAAAGCTGGTGATCCACTGACAGACAGAGCTAGGGACAGAGAGCTGGGTTAGTTTGGTCTGGAGGAGTGTTGGAATGATGATGTTGAAAGCCGAACTAAAGTCCACAAACAAGATCCTCACATAAGTCCCTGTTTTGTTCAGATGCTGCAGGATGAAGCGCAGTCCCATGTTGACTGTATCATCCATGGACCTGTTTGCTTGGTAAGCAAACTGCAGGGGGTCCAGTAAGGGTCCAGTGATGTCCTTCAGATAAGCCAGAACCAGTTTTTCGAACGACTTCATGACGACAGACGTTAGTGCCACAGGTCTGTAGTCGTTAAGTCCTGTTATCTTGGGTTTCTTTGGAACGGGGATGATGGTGGAGCATTTGAAACAGGAAGGGACTTCACACAACTCCAGAGATCTGTTGAAAATATGTGAGAAGATGGGGGCCAGCTGGTCAGCACATTCATATATACATATATTCGTATATACATTACCTCTAATGACCGAGAACAGTGCAGTCTTTTCAAATGCCTCTTTCTGCAACGGACCACCCCCCTTCATGTTGAATTTGGGCATGAGGGAATTTTTTAAAACCCTGAAATAATACAAATTGAGGTGGTTAACAATTGCGGACAAAGACTGACATTTCAAAATGACCAGTAAAGGTCTTTTTTTCTTTTTTTTCTAATTTGCGTTGTGACCACATTTTAAGACTTATTGAGTATTGACACCACAATGTTTGATTAATGTTGCACGTTTTGTAGGCTAACTAACTTTGAGGTTTCTTCCTTCAATTCTGCACAACTTTGACACCTGAACAGCACATGCCATTGTCAGTACTTGGCAGGTAGTATTATATGCTTCAGTGTACAAGTGTTTACCAACCTTATACACTGATGCCCACTGACCTGCAACTTCTCCATCACTAACCCTATAAAACTCTTTATTCCAGCTGTTTAAGACCTCCAGACTGAGAAATAGCTTTTTCCCTAGATGGCCCCCAACAATCTGTCTCTGCCTAATTGTCTGGCACAACTGACTTCATAACACAGTGATAGCTGCTGTAACTAAAAAGTAGCCCAGTACACACTTTAACCTGTGTACATGGATTAACATGGATGAATACATTCACCCCTACCATTTTTTGTTATGACATGTGTTCTGTTTGTACTGTTTAGGTTTTAATGCTACATTGCACATCTGAACTATTTGCAGTATTTTAATACTGCTGCGTACTTTTTATAATTGCTAATTTTATATTGCCATTTTAAATCATTCTGTTGAAGGCACATCCCAACCCTGAGGCCTGTGACCCATCATTACAGATTCGTTACAGTATTTATCATAATGCCTCTTTTCATTCTCATCTGAGTAATTACCCAGTCAGTCATTTTTACGCTTAAATATAAGTTGTACATTGACATTTCCGTGCACTTGACAGAACAAACCAAACTGAAAGATGTTTAGTTGTTACTGAGTTTTGTAAAACATTAGGTCTGCCCACAGCCATGTTTGAGTGGATTCAATGTCTCAGCCAGTGAAAGCCAGTGGGCCTGGGCCCATCCACCTGTCAGTCAGGCCCACCCAGTCATTGCAAGCTACAGCAGAGATTCCTTTGACTACAGCGATCGCCGGATGCCTTTATACATGCATTTGTCCATATTCGTTTTTTTCCTGGCACGTCATACGTTACTTCTATGAGTCCTTTTTTGAACTTTCTGCACGAGAGCTCCCTCCAGCTTTGAGTATGAATGAAACGTCTCTACGCTCTTGCCACTTCTCGCCCTTCCCCCTTTACACTGAGCACATTTCACACTCAGTTGGTCACCGAAGTTTAGTTGTACGTTAAACTAAAATAAAATGAAACAGAGCAGCTTACTAAAGTTTGTTTCAAAAAGACGTCGTGTGCAGCCACAGGAGGAAGATAATTCCGAAGTTTAGGAGCCATCAATCTCGAGTTAGTAATGACCTGAGCAGCTCTGCTAGTGTTCATTCACCTATTACTCCATCACCAGCAGCACTCCCTTCTCCAGCGTCTACCTCCCCTACACACCACTGTACAGGTACATACGGTGTCTTTAATTAATAGATACAAACACAGCAACAGCGAAAAAAATAATGAATCATCATTTACTATAGCAACGTTATGTGCATTAATTTTTTTAGACTCGGCTAAGCCTAGGGCCAGCACTGAGGACATAAGACTAACAGCCCCATCTGACTTGTCCACTATTAATGACCCTGCTACCCAGCCCAAACTCAGTTCATTTCCAGTCACCACTATAGCAGGCAAAAAAAATAAGTTTTAATGTCCGGTGGTATGAAAAGTTCCCATGGCTACAGTACAGTACTTCGAGAGACGCTGTGTTTTGTAAGCCATGTCGTCATTTCCCTGAAGCAGCCACTGAGAGCCGATTTATAAAAAATGGCTTTAGAGATTGGAAGCATCTCTCCCATTGTTGTGTTAAACACAAGGCTAGCAGGGCACACGCTGCAGCGCTGGGCAGGTCTGAAGGATACAAAGCAAGCGACAAACCAGAACGGGGAAATATAATTAACCAGCTGCACAAAGATGCTGTCAACAGTTTGTTTGTGGAAAGGAATAGAGAACACATTAAAGTTGTAATAGACCTCATTTTATTCTGTGCAAAACAAGACATTCCCTTGCATGGGCATCGTGAAAACGAAGAGGCACTGAACAAAGGCAACTTCTTAGAATTATTTCAACTGATCTCCAGCCATCATCCAGAAATAAAAAAATTACTGGACGAACTGCCTAGAAACGCAAAACTCACTAGCCCTAATATCCAGAATGAAATGCTGGAAATTGCAGCATTATTAAATCTCTGTAAAATTTGCATGATGAGACAGACACATACTATGCACTTTTAGCAGACGAATGTAAATACTTATCAGAAAAAGAACTTGTGGCAGTTTGTATCCGATACATACATAAAGGCCAGTTGAAGGAAAGGGCTGTGGGGTTTGTAGAGACAGGGGACATGAGCACAAGTGCTATATCAGCAAAGATTCTGGAAGTATTGGAGCCGTTGCAGCTGGATCCAAATTTGTGCGTTGGATTTGTGTTTGATGGGGCGTCGGTTATGTCCGGCAAAAAAGGAGGGGTGCACGTGATTTAAAAAAAAAAATTTCCTCACACAGTATATGTGCATTGTAATTCCCACCGCCTTAACCTCGTCCTGTGCACAGCATCAAAGGTGTCCCCTTGCATATCAAAATTTTTTGATGTCATTAACAACTTGCATAGTTTCATGACGGGATCACATAGACATGCCAGATTTATGCAAATCCAGCAACAGCTGCTGCCAGGGAAAACGATTTTGTAGCTACCCTTACCAAGACGTAGTATACTTCAAGTTTATTTTAGTAAGTATGCTTAAGTAAAGTTCAAGTATATTTTTAAGTATACTTTATGTAGCAAGTATACAAATATCAGTGTACTAGTAGTATACTTGTAAGTGTGCTATTTCAATACTCCTTGGGACTAAATTGGCCCATTACTTTTAAGTATACTTTAAGTATAAAAGTAGTAAACTTTGAGTACACAACTAGTTTACATCAAAATGTTTAGTTTGTACTGCAACTATACTAAAAGTGAACTTATAGGTATACTGATAGTTTACTAATTAAATACTTGTAGAAGCATTTTTAGTACACTTTGAAGTATAGTCTCAGTAAACTACTAGTTTAGTAGTTTTATACTGCAAGTTACACTCGTAAGTTTTTTTAAGTGAACTTTACATCATACTTGAAGTATACTACTTTGTCCCTATTTAGGTATTAATTTAAATATATTTTGTTACATGAATATCTGAACATACAAAACACCAATAGAACAGGCTATCTGCTTGTAAACAAAAACATTTTATTCTAGCTTCATGCATTCTTTTTTTAAACACTTGAATGTGGATAAGTTTCATAAATAAAAAATAAAGAAATAACAAAAAGCTGAAAAAAGACTATGAATTGGATTCAAAATGATAATCAAAACGTAGATAAAGTCGATCAACACCCCAAAGCTTGACAGTCATTATTACCTCTTCATTGGTCGACATTTTATTCCATAATGTTACACAGTTTTGATACTGTTTTATGTCTGATGATCGTGTTAGAATACACGTGGAAGCATCTGTTGTTTCGGTTTCTTCTTCACTTGTGTTTTTTGGAAATTCTGTACAGAAGATGTGTACTAGCGCCCCCCTACAGTATAACAATGAAAACACAGATTCTAGGAACACAAGTATAGCTCAAATAAGTCAAGTATACTTAAATGTAATTTTAAGTATATTTCTGAGAAGTTCATAAAGCCCATTTCTGAGAAGTACATAAAAAGTAGACTAAAAGTATACTTTCCTATTTTTAGTTTAAAAGAAGTATACTAATAGCCCACTTGAATAAACTTCTATTTCGTAAGGGTAGAGAGTTCCTGTGATGTTCGATGGAGATCATGGTCAAGTGCAGTGAGTAAAGTGCTGACACTTTTGGGTCCTATATTGGAGACTCTTGCTGAATTTTCTGAAAGCTCAGGCCATTCAAAACTTGAGGCCGACTCACTACTATTTCTGTTTCTACTTGTAACGTTCAACAAGTTGTTTGAAACGAGTGACTATGCCACTAAGGACTTGCAGTCCGCCACTATATCTGTAACAGATTGCATGATCTAATCGAAGGACTTAAGGAGAGCTACACTACATTCAGGAATGAAGAAAATTACCTTGATAAAGTAATGGCTTTGACAGAGGATTTGATGAAAAGGCATGGCATTGTGAATTGGGATATCACTGGGACCCGAAAGAGGAAGTTGACAGCGAAGTTGGGCGTTACGCTAATCGAATCTACAGTGGGCAAAGCATCACCTGTCAAGGACAACTCTGACCTGAAACAATTATGAAATGATATACTAGACAAGAAGATCATAGAACTGAACACCCGTTTTAAGGCTGACACGTACAGGTTAATGAGAGCTGCCGCTGCCGCTGCTTGCTTGCTTCAGTCTAACACCTTTGACGATACACACTTTAACATCGCTGTTGAGGATTCTGAACATGAGGTGTTTGTTCAGCAACTAGAAAGAAAAATATCAAATGGCAGATCATTTCCATCACTTGTGGAGGTGCTCAATACATGCCCACACGATATCTTTCCGAAAATGAATTGTCTCCTACGGGCCCTCATCACAA